AAATAAATTATATTTTAAAGGATATTAAAATAGAAACCATTATTTTATATTGTAATAACATTTTGCAAGATTACTGCTTTTTTTCTGGATTATTGATCAAATAAATGCAGCCTTGATGAGCATAAGAGACTTCTTTAAAAAACATTACAAGTCTTACTGATCCCAAACATTTGACCGGTAGTGTATGTATATACACTTTCATTCTATTATAATTAAAAATATGTATAACTTACAAATGCATAGTTTTATTTATTTGTCATAAGCAGACATAAAACAATTTAAAAACTACATATGTGCATATATCTGGTTATCAGAAAGATAAATAATAGCATCCATTATTCTCAAATCTTCAACCACTTTAACTTCACCTAATGTTCATTATGTATGTTGATATGAACGTGTATGTTGATCATTTGTGGCTTTATGTTCTTCAATCTTCAGTCTGTCTTCGCATCCAGATCAACCCTCAGAATAAAAGAGATTTCCTGACCGTCTCTCCTGAGAGAGCCTTCGCTGATTTCCTCTTTGCTCACACTGTTCTGCATCTAGTGGTCGTCAATTTTGTTGGCTGAATGAGAGCATCTGCTCTGTGCTCTTACAGCAGGTGTGTGTACCAGTAACATCTAATGAATGTTTCAGCATCACTTTCATGTGTCTAATGTTTATATCACATAGTTCAGACAACAACAAAAAAAAGAAAACACCAAAATAGCAGATAAACATCATGCCCGGATCCTTTTAAAATACACTGCTTGCTCAGTATAAATTAATTTCTCTAGAAACTCTGTAGCTGACAGATAATAAACCCTCTTTTGCCTGATGTAAAAGAGTGGCCTGATACAGCAGTACATGCTTCCTTCTTTGTGTCATATTCATTTGTGTGCAATGAAATATTCAGTTGCACACAAGTGAAGTACAGAACAACTACAAACAAACACAACTGTCTGCAGAGCTCTCAATGTTAATATATGTTTTGACAGAATTGTCATTTATGATAAGTTCTTGTCTTGTTTCTTCATTTTTCTACTTTTGTAAAACTCTGGAAGTTGTTGAAACAAATTAAATGCCTTTAAAAACAATTCAATGGTCCTGTGGTGTTTTTATTGTAGCAAATCTAGGTAATCACATTAGAAGTGAATCTTTGTGTTTGAGATGTATTTAAATATATATAATTAGTAATAAATGTAACATTGAAAAACTATATTTTATTTTAAATGAAAGCAGAAGCCACAGTCTCTATTTATTAATATTGCGTTGAACACCATTGCAGTGTGGAGCACAAATGGTTAAAACAAGCTCCCACATCTGGACATAGTTTAGGGCAGAAGGAAGTGAGAGTGAAGGCAGAAATATTCCTTCTCACAACAGCTGTCTTTAAGAAAGAGGGACTGTGTCACACTCAACCTCAGCGATGACTCTTCTGCTACTTCTAATCATTTTTCTTCTGCCAGGTGAGCTTTCATCATTCTTTTTTGCAAAAACGGATGTTGGAAAAAACAGCTTCAGCTATTTAAAGGCATTTGTCAAAGCTGTGTTTATGGGAGTTTACAAAGACAATCTACAGCTAAAATTGGACATGCGTTAAAACATCCACTCTTCTGAACAATATATTGAGCTGTTTGCAGTTTTAAAACCTGGAATGGAAGTGTTTCTAGCAGCAGCTAAGATGAGTTTTCATAGGAAGAAAAACACTGACCCAAATTCCTCAATGTACTTTAGAGTGCCTTCTATTAACTCAACCTTTCCAAACACATGATGTTTTTAAGTTCTTCGTTTTCAAGAGTCATTAGAATATACATGTGAAAATATAATGTTTTTGTTATTTGGCTTTTTTCTGCTTGATTGTTGTTTGTTGGGAGACTGATGGACAACAACGGATGGATGTTCTGAATTTCATTGGTTAAATGAAAAACTGGAAATAAAATGGCAGTGAAAAGCAGGCCTGTTGGCCACAGTAACTCAGTCGGCCATTTCATGCACAAACACACATTGTTTAATTTTCAATCATTTCAGTAAGCAAAACATCTATGAGTTTTAGCTTATAAAGACAACATTTCAATTGTGATAAAGGTGTTGTGACTATTTACTGTTTTACTTTTATTTTGTTTTATTTATTTATTTATTTATTGCTATTATGAGTGTAAATGAAACCAGAAGCATTCTGGCATTATGATTAATGTTATAATGAACAAATGTATTTTTGTTTCAGGCAGTGTGTAATCCTCCATTGCCAAAACAAACAAATAAATAAATAAAAGTTGATCGCTGGAGAGACGTTTTAATTTTTTCAGGTCAAGAAAAACAATTATAACTGATGTTATGATATATTTGTATTTCAGTATATGTTTGAATGCTACAGAATTCAGACTTTAGTCTTTGCAACTTTACAGATCTTCTTTATGCACCAAGAGCTTGTAACACTCCAAAGAGTGTTACAAGCTTTTGACTTACATGTACGGGACATGTGAATATCTTTTAGTTATTCCACAAGTTTTGACGCGTATCTTCCTATCTTGTATTCATCACTCGAAGTCCATAGTTTCCTTTATCGTGGTTTATTCTTCCAAGTCAATAAACAATCACATTTCTCAAATACAGCATAATCCTCTTGTTCAGCGATATCTTCTCAACAACTTATTTGTAGAGATACTATACTTGTAAGCCAATTTATGCTATATCATATGCAATTATGAAACGGTCAAAAGCTTGTGTTCTCCCACCATTCGTCTGAACTTGTGCATGTGCGTCAATATCTTTTTGCGTGAACTACAAAAAATGACGTCACTGAACATGCGCAGTAAGAACAAATATAAACCAAATAAATATATTCAACAGTAAATGACTTATTAACAAGAACAATTCCAATTGATGGTTGTTTTGTATTTCTTCCATTTCCGAATAATCGCGCCAACAGTTGTCTCCTTCTCACCAAGCTTCTTGCTGAAGGTCTTGTAGCCCATTCAAGCCTTGTGTTGATCTACAACTTGATATTCTGTCTCTATCTGTTAAAATAAACCTACCATAAAAATGACAGACCCTTCATTTCTTTGTAAGTGGGCAAACTTACAAAATCAGCAGGGATCAAATAAATATTTTCCCCAGTGTGTGTATATATATATTAGAAACATAAACCCACACACTAATTAAACTTGCATGATGACAAAAATAATTTATTAATTGGCAAAGGAAACAATAGTAAAAACATGCTATTGGAGATGCACTAATACATCTTTGTCAATTACTGATGATTATTTTAATGCTATGGCTATGTGAATTCAACAAAACTTGTCCAGGTCATATTCCATATTTGTTTTCAAAAGAAAGTACAGTATTTTTAAGAATATTAAGAGCTTTGAATTGTTATTATTATTAATTTCATGACAATTAAGGACATTTTGCCCCATATTTATTTGTATTACTATAACGCAGAACAATCAAATTCCTACAACTGTAATGTAAAATAAATAAATAAATAAATATTAGTACTTATACTTAAAGAAAAATTTATACATTATGCTGGTATTTCTTGTACTTTCTTTAATGTATGCTGACTCAAAATTACAAAAAAATGTCATTTTGAGAATTTGGTGGAGTAGGGGAATTTTCTATATTATTGTCTATTTTTTATATAAATGTATAGATTAAATAAATATAATTTTAAAATGTTTTTTATATATTTATAATTGCTTATTGTATTTCATTATAACTAATAATGATATGAATCACAATAAAATATTTTATAATAAAGTATTTTATAAATATTTCATATATCATGCAAGTATTTCTTGTGCTTCCTGATGTAAAATAATGTAAACTGAGGATTTGGTGGGGGAGTATTATGTATAAAATAAAATATTATTTTATATTATTATTGTTGTTCTTGTTGTTTTCTTGACAATTAAACAAATTTCCCCCAAAATTAAAATATATGTAATATAACGATATATATATATTTATATATATATATTTATATTTATATTTCCATTTTGGAATGTGACCATATCTGCTTACAGTATCTGTTAATAATACTGGTGAATATTGGCATTTATTAGTGAAGGTGTTGTAGTGAGTGACTGATGGTTGTTGTGCTGCAGGTATGTCAGTGGTGAGCAGTATGCTGAGTGCAGATGAAGGCAGCAGCGTCACTGTTCAATGTCTCTACAGTAAAAACCTCAGGTAACATACTATACATCTTTAACAGACTCATCTAAGAAGTGCCAGATATATGAATATCCCATAACCTGCAACGTATTTAACATTAATATATAAAGTGTTTATACGACATACGTAATAACTTTTTTTTTTAGCCGATAGATTTTTCTGATTTGATATTTAAATGCATCATTGCTTTCCCTGCAGGTCCAGTGAGAAGCGGTGGTGTCGCAGTGGGAACTGGAACTCCTGCATGGTGACGGACTCTGAAGGAACATTCAGCAGCAGAAAAGTCTTCATCCATGATGACAGGAACAGCATGTTCACGGTGACGATACAGCAGCTGGAGATGAGAGACTTGGGCTGGTACTGGTGTGGAGCCGGTCAGCAGCAGGTGGCTGTTCATGTGTCAGTCACAGCACAAACCACAACACGTACGTCACACAGAGACCACAGCTGACACCACAAACTACATTCTTACATAATCAGTAGAAATGTGAGTGGTGTTTACCTGCAAATAAAGAGAAACCTATTGAACACATTGTTATGTAGTTTCTGCCACACTGCATCACTGAACTTTTGCATAGATAAACTCTGCTCATATTGCATTTGATTTCTGTCCTTATGCACAGCGTCTCCCATCCAGAATCTGAAGACAACAGTCAGAAATCCATCTGTAATGAGCTCAAATGACCCTCACAGGTGACCTTCTGCTCTACACCAGCACACTTCTGTATATTCATTTCTCATGAATGGATAAAAACATTTTAGCAGTCAGCTGTGACATATATAGACAAACTTTTGGTGTTTTGACTTACACGGGGAAGTCGTGGCCTAATGGTTAGAGAGTCGGACTCGTAACCCAGAGGTTGCGGGTTCGAGTCTCGTACCGGCAGGGATTGTAGGTGGGGGGAGTGAATGTACAGCGCTCTCTCCCACCTTCAATACCACGACTGAGGTGCCCTTGAGCAAGGCACCGAACCCCCAACTGCTCCCCGGGCGCCGCAGCAAAAAATGGCTGCCCACTGCTCCGGGTGTGTGTTCACGGTGTGTGTGTGTGTTCACTGCTGTGTGTGTGCACTTTGGATGGGATGAATGCAGAGCACTAATTCCGAGTATGGGTCACCATACTTGGCCACATGTCACTTCACTTTCACTTTCACATCTAATGAGCTCAAATGACCCTCACAGGTGACCTTCTGCTCTACACCAGAACACTTCTGTATATTCATTTCTCATGAATGGATAAAAACATTTTAGCAGTCAGCTGTGACATATATAGACAAACATTTTGGTGTTTGACTTACACATGATGTCTGTTTCAGTCGTCCTGTTTGGGAGTCTCCTCTTGTGGTGTGTGGGGTCGCGCTACTGGTCATGACTGCATTTTTGGCACTTTGGAAGTTACGGCAACTGTGTAGTAAGTTTCTAAAGTTATTTGTAGTTTTTTACTGTCTTATAAATTCATTGAATTAATGGACGAGTCATTAGTTACTCATAAACTAGTCTAGAACCATTAAAGTCTCTTTGTTCCTTTTAGATATCTAATAAACATTTGTTTGCCTTAATTTTAACCCTATTTAGCTTTAGAACAAAAATTATGCATTCTGTTTTTTTTGTGCATAATGCTATTTTTCTCCATTTTGCAGAGAAAAAGCAGAAACATCGAGGGACAAATGAAATGAACGATAATCTCACAGTCAGTGCATTTTCTCTGTTACCTTACAGTCAGCATTAAATCAAAAAATACCCTATTTACTTTCTTAATGTACATTTCTGTTCTTTTTGTGGAGATATTATTGGTGTACATTGCTCCAAAAAAAAAAAAAAATTGTGGAAAGAGTAAAAATGGAATCTGATTAAGCATTTGAAAGATGTTAATTAATAAATGGAATTCCCCCCCTTTTTGCAATTAGATCACAATGGGATCAGTTCAATTCATGAATGAACCGTTTAATGCAATTTGTGAGCCAACTGAACTGGTTCATTGAAAGAATTGTCTTGAATTCTTCACTTTGAAATAAGGGGAAATTAAATGTAAAAAGTGAGATATTATGCTTTTGAGTATAAGTAAAATTTTCCCAGAATGAAAATACACTGATGCATGTATGTTGACATTAAACCTTCAAATCTTTTAAGCAACTGTATGAAGTTTTGTGTGTTTTTGGGACTTTGGCGCCCTCTACAGTTAAGTGAAAGAATTCACTGTCGTAATTACAGTGGAGAGCTGTACACCTGCATTTGTTGCTGCAGAAAAAAATCTGCTCCTTTTGCGGAATTTCGCTCATTAAACATACACACTCCCAGAAAAGACGTTTGTGAAAGAAAAAGAAAAAGAAGTAATTCGCCGTATTAGAAATCAGTGTGCCATCAGAACGATTTTGAAACTAATATTTCAAGGTAAAAAAACAGACATACAGATGCTTTAACAAGAAATTACACATGAAGTGCTATGTAAAGATTTATACACGGCTCACGATTATGTTGTGTCTGTGTCCAATTGTGATGAGATGTTTTTCTGCTGTATTTGATATGGTTTTACTCGTTTTCAGATGTGTCCTTGGAGAGAAGGAGACTATAAGAACGCCTCAGTGATTTTCCTGAACGCTCCAGCTCAGGCCCAGATGCTCTGACAGAGGAGCTTCATGATGGGAAACACCAAACTCATGGACATTCTGATGCTGAAGGAGATCTGAAAGGGAACTGATGGACACTTTGACTCTTTAAGTCTCATTATGAAGTCTAAGAGAGTCCTGCAGACTGGAGAAGCTGGAGGCCGGGGTAATATTTGACATTCCTTCACATGTAACAGTTAAATGGAAGATCATCTTTCATTTTAATGCATATTTCATGTCATGTATTTCTCTGTAAGCACAAGCCTTATGAGTGAATTGTGCTGTTTAAGCATGTTTTTACAAATGAGCAGCGGTTATTCTCAACTAACAGTGCAGAAAATGTGTGAAAGATGTGTGAATGTTTACAGAAGCACTAAGAATGTGTCCTTATATCACTTTTGACCATATTAGAGACTATTTTATCTTGTCATGTGTTTTATCAGCATATACTGTAAATGATAAAAAGCTTTCATCTGTTATTAACCTCTGTACAGAAATAGTGTCTTATTCACATCCTGTTTCAAGTCCTATTAACATCTTTATTTGTGGTTGTTTGTCACCTCCTGCATATAAATAAATGTAACCCGCTTCAGCAGTGACCCACTCCAGTCGGTCTATAATTGTAAAATGAGAACTAGAGAACGAATAAGTGTCAATACACAGAAACCTCAAGAGGGAAACGCTTTGATGTCGACTGCATTGCACATGAAGTAAATAATTCTTATTAGAATAATCTTAAATGTCTCAACCAAGTGATGCATTTGTAACATGTGATTTTTGCAGCATTTGCAATCAAGCATGACGTTTTATTGTAAATCTACTTTTTGTGACATAAGCAACTGAAGAGCACGGATGCAGGAAGTGAGAGTCTGAGACTATGAGAACTTTATCATATGTGATAAGCATAAAACAGAGTTAAGCTGTATAACAGAGATAAGAGACAAGCTGTTTCTGTAGCATTACCACAAAGAAAATGTACATGATGAAGATGCAGAGAGAACAAACATTGCGACGTTTTGACAAAAGGACTGTCAGTTTAAAGAAGTTCTTTGTGTTTTTCCTGTGGCTCATAACTGGCAAGTGTCTCTGTTTTTAATTTCTGTTTATAATTAATTTCAAATGGTTAGTTGACATGTTCTGCTGTATAAAAAGCTATACTCTTGTCTAAAACTATTTTAAACAGTGTTTTGATAATTCTTTTATAATCACAGACTTTTATTAATAGAGAAATTCATTCATCATGCCACTGGACTAATTACTCTAGTGTTGTGTTTTTTTGACTTAGAGATTGCATTGCATTGTTATTGTATTCGAATCAAATTAATTTGACTAAAATGGCCAAAGTTATCCACAAATAATACTTTTTTGACTTTTTTGATCTATGACGCTTGCAATATATTAATTCCAAAAATAAATACGAAGCCTGTGCTAACTGAAAGTAAACAAGTTGAAAAAAACTGACTGAATTCAAGATTTGGTGATAGTATTTAGCATATTGAAATATTTACAAGGAATTTTTAAAAGGCTGGTAATTTTTTACATCAAATTGGGTAATGGATTTTCAGCACAGCACAAGGGTTAAGAAGATGAACGAAGGTAGAAAAGTGGATAAAAACTTGAAAGAAACAGTGATTAGTCACAGCAGAAAATAAAACACTGCATGTTACCTTATACATTCATATTAAAGGGGTCATATGATGCTGCTAAAAAATAACATTATTTGGTGTATTTGGTGTAATGAAATGTGTTTATGCGGTTTAAAGTTCAAAAAACATTATTTTCCACATACTGTACATTATTGTTTCTCCTCTATGCCCCGCCTTTTTGAAACGCGTCGATTTTTACAAAGCTCATCGGTCTGAAAAAGC